GTGATGCATTGTAAACGTTGTAACAAGAATGGGCATACCGCCCGCTTCTGCAGGACTCAGCCCTGGCACATCGCTTCAAGCACCAATTCCGGTGTAATCACAACATGCCACCTATGCGGCGAAATGGGGCACCTTAAGAGGGACTGCCCAACAGAAAGGAATAACGGAGGAGCAGGAGGAATGTAACAACTGAACTGTAACACCCAAAGTTTTGAAGGCCAAGAAAGGAAAGAAAAGCCCTAATTTTAAGGGTAGACTCGGTGAGTCCAAGGAGGGACTCGGCGAGTCCGAGCGGGATCCGGGTCAAGGTGTAAGTGGCCAACTTGGCGAGTCGGCCAAGTGGACTCGGCGAGTCCGGTCTGTGCGAGGAAAACCCTAAATCCGGGACTTTAGGCGCTATTTAAGCTTCTTATTCTCTCCATTAGGGTTCCTTATAGCATCCCTTGTTCAAAAAACGAAGCCTAAGCCTCCATTGTTGTGCATCCAAGCTTCCAAGCCATTTTTGGGTGATTTGAAGGAAGAAGAGGGAAAGGAATCAGTGAAGCTTCAAGGATTGGCTTGAGATCTGGAGTTTGTGGAGTCTTTCTGAGGTATTGGAGGTATTAAGTCATTTCCTTCCCTTAGATCTATTTTTGGTTGTGAGTTTTGGGATTTTTTAAGCCATGATTAGCCACCTTTATGGGTTAGAAGCCGGATCTGGAGTTGCTACTTCAAATCCAAGTGTGTTATGGCCTGGAGAAGCAAAAAGTATCAGCCCTTGAGTCGATTTTGAAGCCCCTTGGCCTTAAGCCCTAGTTTTTGGCATATTTTGCCTAGATCTCCTTCTCTACACGTAAAGTGAGGAATAGGCTTGGGAAGGATAGATCTACAGTTTGGAGTCCATGCATGACTCAAAAGTCCTCTGCATGTAAGGAGAACTGAAGGGACTCGGCGAGTCCTTTGAGTGGACTCGGCCAGTAGCATGAAGTTGTGGAGAAACTCGACGAGTGGGATGAACAACTCGTCGAGTCATATGAAGATTGCCTTGTATTCGGCGAGTCTGTTCTTGGACTCGGCGAGCCAGGTCGCGAAACCCCAAACCCTTCGAGTTGAGACTCGAATCAGTGAGTCGGGTGGAGACTCAGTGAGTTGGACAGGTCAGGACTCAGAAATCGGTAGACTCGGCGAGTCGAGTCGCGAATGGAAGGATTCTGAACATTATGAACTCGGTGAGTCAGTAGGGTGACTCGGCGAGTAGGGTTGACCTGGAAGGTTGACCTTGACCAAGACTTTGACCTTGACCAGGGTTGACTTGGTTGTCTTTCGGGGGTCAGATAGACTCGATGTTGCATTGATATTGGTAGTCCGGGGAGCAAGGAGAGCAGGAGTTCAGTGATCATCAGCAAGTTCAGTCAGTACAGGTAGTTTCCCTTTGTGTGAATGGGTCTAAGGCCACAATACCGGACCATGTAGTTATGAGTAGGAGACCCGGGGGTTAGCCCTAGGCACAGTATGCTAGTATGATATTCAGGACGAGGTCCAGTAATAGCGGGCGGGTGCCCAAGGATTCATTTATATGCTAGATTATACTTGTTGTCTGTGTGATACATGTATGTGCCTGGTAGGGAGGTGAGTGTGGGCGAGGTCCCGTATCTCACCAATAACAGAGTATGGATAGGGTTCCATATCTCATTAGTAGCAGAACAGGGGCGAGGCCCCAAACTAGAACAGGAGTGAGACTGGGCTAGGCCCGTACCTCACTACCATTAGGAGCGTGGACGGGGCTCCATGACTCATCAGTAGCAGGACATGGGCGAGGCCCAGGATAGGCGATGCCTTAGGACATAACTAGTTGCATGTGTTTAGTTATGTGTTGTGAAATGTTTATGTGTTATTAATTGTTGGCGCGGGCGAGGCCCTGTGACAGGCGGGGCCTGGAGCGGCGGGGCCGTTGTAGCGGGCGAAGCCCGAGGTAGGGGCGAGGCCCAAGGTAGCGGGCGTGGCCCAGTATGTGCAATATGTGGTTATGCATGGTATGTGGTAGGGTGGGGAACTCACTAAGCTTTGTGCTTACGGTTTTCAGTTTTGG